CCCCCATGCAGACACTAGCAGTGAACAGGATCTAAATCCTTTTAAGCACACACATAGATAAAGTGATGAACGCAAGATTCGAGACAGATGCAGCTGTCTTCTGCTGAGCCATTTTTCAATGTTCACATAATGAAGATGGGACACGTCTTTTGTTGCGAGGCCGGTTAAGAGCAAGGACAGAGACAAGTTTAGCAAGGAGGAAGGAAAGGTAGTGCGACTAAGCTTGACGGACTCAAATGTGGACGTGATGGATCAAGAGAATAACTCCCATGCTAACCATCCGTTTTTGGAACCAAATGTTGAAAATGCAGAAAGAGCCAAATGTTAAAAACATAAAAAAAGAAACAAAAGTAGATCTTGCTTTTGCCAACTGTGTGGAGGTGTAGCCTTAGTAAGAACACCTCCATAACACAGAGCCTACATGCGTATATTAACATCATCCCTTTCAAGTCTCTGAATTGAAGATATGATACTCTGTGTTTTGCTCAGAATCAATCAGATGTGAACCAATGCCTTTATTTACAGGACGAACGTTTTTTAGCAGCGATTCAGGCAACCTCGAAACATTTGGGCTCAGTTGTCTCTGTACCTCCCCTGTTCTCTCTGCGGAGACGAGGCGGGGGTGCGTTTATTGTGAGTGCATCCACTCTGAGACACCTGGCCCGTTTATTTCTTTCTTTATTGAGGTTGATGTGGTGATTGAGCCCAAAGCAAAACCTGAAAACAAAAGGGGAGAAGATGTCGTTGAGTTTGCGTCCCTTCGTTGCCTGTGAATTTGTACAATTTGTTTTTCCTGTATGTTTGAGTGAGAATTGTTATATATTTTAATGTTTGTGTGTTCGATCGTTTTGCTTTTACCTCGGCTTTCACTTGTGCTGTTGCCATTTCTTGTTTTGTTCTTTTTTAATCTGGTGATTTTCTCACAACTGTTACTATTATTATTGCATCATAAATATTATTTCATTATTTTATGGTATTTTCATTTGGCAACTTTGGAGGCACGTTGTGCACTACAAAAAATGACCATCAAACCTTTATGCATACATATATACAGGTTACACATATATATATATATATATATATATATATATATATATATATATATACATGTGTGCATGTACCATGATTGTAAAATATGAATGTCTGCAGATTTAAATGGGATATTTTTGTCAATGAAGAAAAAATGTTACTGAGGTTTAGTTTTTAAAAGAATATTTTTCTAAAGGAAGAAAAAAAGTACTGCCCTGTCCCTCAACATGAAGCACGATGTAACTGCCTCTTTCAATGTGTATTTATGTTTTGTAAACAATATAAAGAACTATTCAAGTTACATTAAATGTATGTTTATGATGATGATGTTAGACATTTGTGAAAACGCCTTTCTTTTTTTTGTTTCTTTGTGAGGTCTGTCCAAAAGCTACTGACACCTTAATGCCACTTCCTTCTTAGTTAGCACAACATGAGGAAATACAAACTAATGTCATTTAATGTCGATACAGATATTAAAAGTGTTCAGATTTATTTAAGGACTAAATGTTTCATACCAAGTATGCATTTCTGTCCGTTATAAACATATCACTTAATAAATGGTTACTCTGTAAAAGAAATGTGTATTTTAAGGAGAGCCACAGATTAAGCCTTGATGAAAACGTATTATGATGTTAATCCATGTCCATATGTACTAAAAGAAAACATGTAGTTTTGTTATGACTAACATGTTCTGTGATTGTATTTTTGCTGAATAAGAAACTTTATTTTCAATAAATACACATGTTTATTCAAAAACAATCGTTAGATCATTGGTATAAATGTTTAGATGTGGCTCTTGGCGGTCAGAAAATGGACAGGCCTCATTTTTATTTGTTTTAAATGTTGAGTAAGGGCGGTGTTGGATGTTAGAAATGCCTTTTGATTTCTCTCCAAATACAAATGTGATGAGAATATGTTTTGGTGTTAGAATAATCATAAAACATATTCAATAGTTCTCATGTACATAGGTTTTGTGGTGCTACTTATAACAAGCTGTAATGGGCCAGAAGGTTATACATGCTGTAGGTGAGGCTCCGGATAAATAAACGCACTGCTTGTATCATCAGAGCGTTTCATTTCCAAAGGAAGCCAATAACACAGTGAACTCCCAGCAGCTGTCGCTCTGAGAGCCCAGTAATCATTTTGTGATTTCATCATGGTTCAATATGAATTGCCTGCTATATCTTCAACTGTTATTAACAGATCTCAGAGGGCCCTTGGACTTTAAATGATAAAACACTTACTGTGGTCACCACACGTCTATTTCTTTGCCTAGGATTTCATTGACATTATTAAATATTTGTTTCTGTATGTTAACAATCACATATCATTTGCTAATGAATTTGAAAATGTGACAAAGAGGGTTAGGAGAGTTATAAGAAATCCTCTAGTAATGTTCAAAGGCTATGTTAGAGTTAACTGAACAAGAGCTTTCCTATTTTTCTATGATGGGAAGAATGTTGGATTTTCTTTTATTTCAATTTGTACACTTGTCATGTTTTCCCTGGTATGAAATGCAATACTTCTTGTCCTCTTTGATAAACGTTATGTAGCAATTCAGGCAGTGCTCAAACTGACAGCTACTCTATGTCAAGTGTGATGAGGTATTGTTTGATTATCCTTTCTGTTACAATATTAAAATGTTATTCAACATACTTCTTGTACCACTAAGGTTTAAGACAATCATCATGAACAAATTGTTTTTCAATCTATCTAGCAACCTTTTTTTGTTTCATTTATGAGTGATGTGCAGCCACAATGTTCCTCCATTTCAGAAAGGCAATGCTTATTTTCTTGTCCATCCCTGTCAGAGATGTTTTGTTATATTTACATCTCATTGGAAAAGGTTGCACTTTTGTTACACAGATAAATTGTGATTTGATACATTGACAATATGTGAAATTACAGAAGTGAAAGGCCCAAATAAACTTTGTTCAAGATGTGTATCAGACTCCAGAAATTAAAAAGAGCGATATTTATGGTGCATGGTTAATTACATGACAACGTAATGATGGTGCTTTTATATCAACTGGTCTGTTTTTTCAGTGAATATTATTTTACATAGCTTAATATTTGTCTGCACATCATAAAGTACTGTTTATTTTTAATAACTAGTAACTAACTAATCGTTTTTATTTTATTTTACTTTGAAAAGGACCAAAGTGTTACACATTTTCTAACTCACCTTTGAAGTGAGAGCTCTGCGATCTTCTGTATCCAGATTGCAGCTTCTACCTTTGTGCTGTCTTATAAAACTTTAGATTTTAAAGGTTTGTGTCTTGATTTTTAAGCAGCAAAAGATGGGTGAGCTATCTGATTCGAACAAATGGACTTCCTTTCCAATTTGTGAAGAGATTTCATAAATAAACAACATATTACAAGATACATGTCTCTCACTTATAAATGCTTGAACTTTGCATGATTTTCATTGGGCTACTTGAATTGAAAACTATTGAAAACTACTTTTCAATCAAGATGAAACAGCAGAATTTTTTTAAATCATATAAAATGAAAAAATAATTGAAATATTTCTTACTTGTCCAGTTTAATTATACAATGCTGCACTAACGGGTCATTTGGTCACATGACATGGAAGTTATTTAAAACAAATTGGACTTTTTAATCAGCATCTGCTGAATTTTCAAAATAATATCAAATTAAATATTTTTTTTAAAACTACGAAAAGAGGCGACCAATAGTAAAGTAGGCCTACTATTTATTAGCAACATCTGTAGACACATGAGGGTTTGCTGCTTGTCGTACCTGCATCATCTTCTTCGTGAACCTGACTCAAACCTGTTTGTCATGTTCACAAAGAGAGAATAGGGAGCTTGACAACAATTAACTGTTTCTGATTTGTGCTTGCACATTGTTGGGACATTTTAGAATCAGACTAAGGGGGAATCTTTTTTTGACAACTTGCAGCAATGACTGGGCCCTGTTGGACAAGAATTGGTGTAATGTCACAAAGTACATTTACGCCTTAAGTAATACATTGAGGTACTTGCACTTTACTTGAGTGAATTGATATAGGTTATTAATACAACATATAAATCGACACGCATTGAAGTGATGAACACATTAATGCATAACTATTTTAAATTAATATAGCAATTAAAAAGTGTCTGGTGCTTAACATTTTCATTTTGCATTCATTTGACTGTTGGTGTTTGCTTGTGAAGTTGTCTGTTAGTTTGCAGTCTTTGCTGTCCTCTAGCGTCCATACATTAAACTACATGACTAGTGGTTTGGCCATAGGTTTGGCCGGAAGTAGCGTCACGGGAGCGGGCGAACTGACGTCACCACACATTTGTTGTAAACATGGCGTCTGTGACAACAGGTGAGAGCATAAAGGCCCGGCGAGCCAGCGTTAACACTTTGCAACGTTTAAATTATTTCGGTGGTTCCTCTTTTTGTGAGACATGGCTGTTGTATTTATTCAGAGGTTTTATAACCGGGTTTCCTTGTAGTGAATGTCGAAGACGACCGGTCGCGCCTTTCGATTCATAGCTGAAGCTATGCTAATGGTGAATGCTAACAAAAACGTTTCTAAAAACGGATTTAATACCTAAAACACTTGCTTTCACTTTCATTTATTAAATGAAGGTTTAATCCAGAATGGTAGAGTGAGTTATCGACCTTTTACATGTTGAGAGGGGCTATATTTAGCGTGATCATCGTCTTATTCTAACACGAGCTAACCGGCACTGACCAAAACGATAGCGTTTCACACTGTTCCCCAAATCTACTGTAATATTATTTTAAAGTATTGGATTGTGAGTGGTGGTTCTCTCTCTTTCCAGGTGCTAAATTATGTTTTAGACGCAGTGTGAGTTTTGTCTCTTTGTCAATGTTAGATCATCAGTCACAGTCAAAGCACGTTAGACAGAGTCATTGTTCCGGCAGCTGCTAATGTGCACCCTAAATCTAAATCTGTTACTCAAACCACCGGACGGTTCATAATGGGTGTTATAAATAACCTGCAGCTGGCAATGGTCAGCAGCATGCTGATGTCTGCTCAGATTTGCGTCCCCCACTAGCGTTTAGAGCCACTGTAGTGTTCAGTATCACTGGGAGTATAACTTGATACTTTTCTTTTCCAGGTCTTTATTCTGTTCATATAGTTAGTTATAAGTAGAGGTGGAAGCTGTACTCGGACCCTTAACCTATTCATGCACAAAATACTCCATTACATTTAAAATCATTCTTAAGTAAACCACTAGTTATTTTCTTAAACGATATACTATTTATTTTAATTCTAAACCTGTTAACATAATAAATGTGTTTGACTGAAATAGTTTCTGTTGTATTGTTTCTAACAGTCTTTATTTTATTTTTCTTAAGCCACGTCGGAGTGGATTCAGTTCTTCAAGGATGCTGGGATCCCAGTCGGCCTCGCAGTCACTTATGCAGTCTCCTTCGTGGACAACAGGTAACCCAATGTCTGCTTTTCATAGGCTGCTCTGTACAGCACACATTAGCCTCACTGTGTTGTGCTGTGAACATGTGAATTTCCTTTGCACCTTTCTAATCAGACTAAGTGAAATAAAATGCAATTCATTCTTTATATATTATTGCTCACTAGTGGGGAAGTGACAGTCTCTTTCATGAACTGAGCCCTCAATACAATAAACGAATATGTTTCAGTCTTATAACGTTTTCCAAACAGACAAAATATGTACTGAAAAACAATGTAATCATGATCGACTTTGGGTATATACATTTTTTCTGATTTTTCGCTGCAGAATTAACAAGAACATGCTGATGGACCTCAGCAAAGACATCATGATGGACCTCGGGATAACAGTCATTGGTGACATCATTGCCATTCTTAAACATGCCAAGCAGGTCTACAGGCAGGTAAGATCAGACGTTTGATAATATTTATAATCATCTTAATAATAATATTTGACAGAAAAGGCACTTTTAGTTTATGCATCATTGTTGAATGAAAAGAGACTGCATGCAACACACGGTGCAGATTTGTTCCTGCAATGAAAGTGAAGGACACTGAAAGCACCGACGTCAGTGTGCATAAACAGCCAAACGTGAACAATGCCATTTCACAAAATGTGTGACAGCAAACACTACGTCTATAAGAGTGCTAAGTCACATGGCCTAGCAAAAAATTAAAACATTGGTGACTGCTGCTGCATGTCACCTTTTTGCCCATGTGCTGATATAAATGCATAAAGTATATTTTTTATATCTTGACTTTTGTTGTGGATGCAGTCATGTAGAATGGTTGCCTTTCAAAGCTACTGCAGTAGGCTGAGCTTACATAACCTCTGTCATTTGTATCCTCTCTTCAGGACATGTGCAAAATGGCCACAGAAGCCATCTCCTCAGGACAGACCAGTGTTAAAGCTGAGCTCAGACGAACTGCCAATTCTCGTAAGTGTCTACATTTTATCATATTCACTTTTTTTTTGTATCATTGCAGCCTTTTGTGAAAACCCTTTTTCTATAAGCAATTTAAAAGAATGTGCTTCTTCTCATTTCACACAACTTACATTGCTACATTGTACTGAGACAACCATGTGACCCATATATCAGCCCAGCCTGAAGATAAAGGAATCAACAGTTATTAAATCAAAGAAGTCATCATGTAATACTTGAAGACATTCACACAGGAGCAGTATTACCAGCAGACCTCATGTGATATAGAAATGAACAATTTAGGTTATTTTTCGAACTAACTCAATCATCGCATGATGACGCAGTTGTTGTATTAGGGCATTATAAAGAGTAATTGTTTCTTTTTAAAGATAAAAGAAATCAACCTTATCTTATGTTACTAAAACAAGCTGCATCACTTTCTGACATTGCAGTGTCTAGAAATCCCACACAGAGCTGCACAATGAATCAGATATAATTACCCGAACCCTCCATTCTTCGCTTTGTATTCTGCTCTGCAAGCTTAATCTATAATAGTGTATCATGATTTTTGCTGACTTATATAGTGGTAGTGAAGTATGATGTAGCAGCATTACATTGAAATGCTACTCACTGCGTGGTTTGTTTAAATGCAGATTACAACAAAAATATTTTGTTCCTAAAATCATTGAACAAAATTAATTAAATTAATTTTAATATTGAGTCAAACACTTTTTTGCTCTAGTCTATTTATTTTTTAAACACAACTTATTTAAATGTATCTGCTTTCCCTCAGCTGCCACTCGTATGATCGCCAACGCTTTGAGCAGCGACTCCCCGCCGGCCACTCCAGCCCGTCGGCCTGACAACCACCTCTCTGTCACTGTGTCCAACATGCAAGTAAACAAGAGTGGCAAAGCGGGTAAATATATTAAACCTCTTACCCCGTATTTCCTGTCCCTATGTAGACATCCTGTCTAATTTCTTACCTCTGTTCATCCTCATGTTCCGACCACTCTGTTGTCAGTTGTAAGTCCGCCGGCTGACGAGGGGAACAGTTTGCAGGCAGTGAAGCGCCGACGTGTGACAGCTGAGATGGAAGGCAAGTACATCATCAACATGCCCAAAGGCTCCACGCCTCGTACACGCCGCATCCTGGCCCAGCAGGCCAAGAAAGGTAGGCCTGACCCGGGGGCCTTGCTGACAACTCGCGACAATAAAGCTGGTGCTCCACATCTAATCAATACATAACATTTTCATGGACTTCATTCATATTCAAACTAAATGTGGTGACTCGGGCTGATTTAAGAAAGCCTTTGACCCTCATTACTTTCTCTCGTAGTTGAATCCCCTGTCTTCAGTAATACTTCCCCCTGCACCCTCTGTCCCTCTGCTGTTTTTACTGTCCTTTGTCTACATTTAACCCAACTATAAAATCTTAGACTCTTGTCTTTTCTGTCCTGTGACACCAATTCTCCGATTGGTTCCGTCTCTTTAAAAGAGTTGCAACTCTGTAAACTGCTACAATGCTCTATTTCTGGTTGCCTTTTTCTTTTGAAATAAGGTAATTAGAATTCATTAATCATTAGTCACCATAACTCTTAAAAACAAAAAATCATAGTATGAAAACACAATTTTTTGTATTTCATTTGATTAGATGTTTAAATTAATGCTGTCAAAATTATCGCCTTAACGGCGGTAATTCATTTTTTGAATTAATTGCGTTAAAATATTTAACGCATATGCAGAATGGCCCGCCCCATACATCCCACCAGTGGCAGCGCTGGGGTAGGCTACAGCCATACCAAGAAATGGCTTAGCCCCACCTTAGCCCCACCATGAAAAATGATGTTAAAGTAAGCAAAATAAAGTCCGCCAACTCGCGTCGAGTAAATTGCAAAGACGGCAGTTAGTAAGATTGATTTCAGTAGCCACTTGTCTGGAAATACCGAAGACTAGAAACGGTTTTGAAAACTTTTGTCACGTAGTGATCGTCTTCTCCATAGAACATCTTTGATAATGTCTTCTGGCCAATCAGAATCAAGATAACGGCGTGGTGTTGTTGCAGGAAGTCCTCTTTCATTTATCTTTCCATTCCCACAACAATATACATAAAGAAATGGCATATTTTGGACATAGTTCGAATGGTGATTAATCATGATTAATTAATTTTAAGCTGTGATTAATCTGATTAAAAATTGTAATCGTTTGACAGCCCTAGTTTAAATATAAAAGCCAGTTTCTCAACATAGGGCATGCTTTGACAAAGTCCAATTTTGGGAATACATTTGACTGTAAATACAGATTTTACTCAACCGTTCTAAGAGCTGTAAAACTAAGGCTTTTGGCACAATTTAGGTTTTTAAAATTTAAAAACAGTCTTATAAAATGTTAGCAATTCACTCTTTTGAAGCTGCTAATTTAATTTCTGGAAATAAACCATTATTTTGACTTGTGATCTTCCCTAGTCATGTGAACTTATAAAACACAAGAGGGGGAATCCTCTGCTGGATTGCTGAGGATACGCGTAGTAGAGTACGTCTTTGATTACACATTTTGCTTCTACAGAGGCTTGTATTGTACATTATAATCACAGTTTAGTTTAGTATATGCCTCATACATTTTACGTTATACAGCAAGGCTCTAATCAACTCATGGTGCTCTCCTTTGAATTTCCAGTAGCAAATCAAAATAGTATTTGTGTAATAACTTTTTCTCTAATCCTTAAATAGGTAATAAGCGCACCTCTGTGTTTTCAAGACTTGGGGCTGAATCGAAGGCAGACACAACGACAAGCAATAACAAGGTAAGGCCTGTCAGGAAACATGAATAGCTACCTTTGTATTGAATTGTATTGTAATGGTTGCTTGTCTGGCAGGCCACCGGTGTGTTCAGTCGTCTTGGCCGAGGAGATGAAGAGGAGAACGGGCAGAGGCCTGTCAAAATGGCTGCAAACATGGATGTTGACGACGAGGACGACAGTGAGGGAGAAGGCTCCGTTCTTCAGTATGCCGGCGTGCTCAAGAGAAGCATGCCCTCCCAGAAGAAAGAGCCAGTGGCCAAACCACCACCGACCACCCTACGGCGCCTGGGTGGTCAATTCAAACTACATCCCTCTGACACCCCCACCTCCTCTTGCGCCCCAAATGGCCTCCCCCCTGCCAAGGTGAGTGTGCTTCAGAGACTGGGCAAGCTGCCTCCATCACACCAGAGCGCCGCTGTGTCGCCCTTACCTGCTGACACACAGGACAACAGGGTGACCAGCACCAAGCCCAAAGCCAAGGAGGGGCTGACCCTAGCCAGCTCCAAGGTCAGCAGCAGCACCGGGGTGGGGGGAGCAGGAGGAGCAGAGGCTGTGGGGGCCCAGATGGATGTCAGGGCTATCAGTGTTTTCAAGAGACTGGGGAGCAAGAAAACCTAACGCTGATCCCTAAGAAAGTATTCAGAATCTTTCGACACGTCCTTTATAGAATTTGTACCAACTCTTTGTTTTTGCATTTTTCCTGGAAACATGTAAATGCAGCTCGGAGCCTTTTCCTCTTTTGAGTTGATGGACTGTTTGAATTGGATACAATTTGATGTTTTTTTTTTTACCTAAATCACACTGCCATTGGAAAAACACATTTGAATGGACCCTAAACCAATGTTTTCTGTGATTTATGATGCGCCATCTGGAATCTATTTATCATGTCTCAATCATATCTAGCATTTATCTTTCTGTAAAAAAAAAAAAATTATATTTAACTTAAAGCATGAGCATGACATGAACCAAGCTGCCATAACGGTGGTTTTAATTTTACCCTCGCACTCCTCAAATAAAGATGCTGCTGCCAACACTTTCCTTTTCTCCCGAAGGAATAGTTCCGTAGTGGAGGTGATTGTTACATTCTTCTTGTTACCATCATGTATTACCTCTAATGTCGGGTAAGTAGAAAAGGCGTTAATGAAAGGCTTCTAAACTTCAGCCCTGGATTGACTTGCATAGTCAATTCAGATTTTTACACACCTCTGAACACTTTGAAAAGAAGAAAATAAAACACTGCACCTCCTCCACTTCTCCTGTGCTTTATGGAGTAACATTTTCACCTCTGAACTAAAGACACCCATGTCACCTCTATCACAGTACTGAAAGTTTCCTATAACCAGGGGTGCACACAAGTGGTACGCAACAATCTGAAATGCGTACCGTCACTTGTGTCACAAAGCTAACCCTAACCCTGAAGACGGTTAGATCACCGGTCTCCGTGTGCACAGACGGGGCTGCTGTTAACGTCGGTCTGTACAGCTGATCACAACGTTCACACGCTCTGTGGTCACGAAGCTCTGCACTCCACTAGCACCCCCCGATCCCCCATGGCCCCCCCGCTGACATTCGCGATACAGAGGGCTTCATGGGAACTAGAAGTTGGAGTACCAAACACTGACTCCAGGTACTCGTCTTGTGTGCACCCCTGCCTATAACCTACTTGAAGGCTGGGTCACAGTACGATACTGTTTATTTAAAAATGCAATGTAAAGATTTGTTAGACTTGGTTTCACACAGAAACAGTTCTGCTGCATATTTTTCTGTGGACATCCTTCTGTTATTTACCCACTTCAAGAAACTCAGAGATGCCTGGTGTCAGGGGAGTGGGGAGGGGCACTGTAGGTATAAGTAGGTAGTTTACCTTTACCCAGTGTGGACCGTTAACACCTGTGTACTATTCTTCACACCAGAACTTTGTTACACTGTAAATACTTTAAATGTTTAAAATCACATTAAGATTTTTTTGTTTATGTTTTTAAGAACAAAGTAGAGCAAAATACACCTTGAACTTTTATGATTCTTTTAAAGACATTAAGGAAAAAGGTTCAGTTTGGAAAGAAAAATATTTGGACAATAAAAGAGAAACGTTTCCAAATGTCTTTCCTCTTGTTTGTTTCTTTCTCTGCAGAAAACATTTGCAATGCATGTCATGTTCACATACGGTACTTTTCAACTCTTAATTATGAACATGACATCAAAGTCAATATTTATATGCCCCTGGGAACATTTAGCTGATCATTTATCAATAAACCGATTAAACTCTTAACGGCTCTCACAATGAGTTTGCTGCTGCATAATGTCGGCTCAACTGTCACAGTGGTATGTTAATGAGGCTTCGTCTTCCCTCTGTACAGCTGCAGCCAGAAACACTGATGGCATCCAGAGGCTACAGGGGTTCAGTATGTGTTTGCGTTGAGGGGATTGTTCAGAGTTGGTTGTAGGCTTACCCTTTATGTAATTATTCTGTACTGGAAATTAATTTAGACACCTTCGCACAGAGACAACAGTACATACGTTTCAGTGCAGGAAATGATTTAATAAGGAAAACTAGATAAACATCCTGCCTTTTTACACTTGAATTTGGTAGTGCTATCTCTACAACATGCAGAAGACAGTAATTGGTGTTTCAGAGTGACATGCATGCTGAAGAGCTATGAAGCTATCCCTTTTGACACTGACTAAAGAAAAAGTGCACACTAAACAGACCCAAGAGTTAAACTAGTGGCGTTATTGTGAATTATTTTGGTCACAATTGTCTAATTAAATCCAATTTTGTGATAGCTCTAACTTCACAGTTAAACAAATATTTACATCATAACAAATCTATACATTTTTTAAAACTTTGATTTAGACATTTGCATTGTGTTAACGACATACAAGATAACAACCTTAACATTGCAATTTAGTAGAGGATAATATAGGCAATAATCTTTACAGATCTATTATGACTGTCTGGTGGGTTGATGGTTGGCCACATCACGAGAAATAATAGGTGTAATGGAGACTTCGTCCCCTTGAGGTCGCTTTCTTCCTCCTCTTTCCATGCAGCCCTCTGCTGTCCGTCTCCATATCCTTGAAAACCTTATCAGCTGAAATCGGTATGGCCATAATGGGATGTTTATTGACGGGATGTAAATTAGGTTAACGCTGAATCAGCCTGTTTTTTGTTTTTGATAAAGAAGACTGGCCTGCTACAAACAATGGGAGTGACGTAATGTACAATCCGCTAAGGTTATTAGTTATTAATTTTAATATAGTAGCCTAACTATGGGATTACTGTAAATGTTGTCAATAGGACCCATCCTTTAAAAAGAAAAATGGTCCAATAATATGTAAATAAGATCTAGTTTACATACAAAGTATTATGTTTTAATTCCTACGCTTATTTTACCATGTTTACCAAAGTGCATTGTTGTTTTGACAAATAATCTTTCATATCAGCACATTTCTGTCTTCGGTTTTCACCATAAAATCTGGACTGCAGCAACCAGCAACGCCTCACGACTTCTCTTTTTTTCTCCCACAATGCTGTGCGGTTGTCGTGCGTGCGCTGTTTGTGGTGCTGAAGCTGCGCGTGCTACCATAGATATTCACTCGAGCATCCCTCCGCGAGACGACCAGAACGAGGAATCAGGTAGCGACGGATGGGTACATTGAGTGTGTTTCTGCCAGCTGTTTCAGCCTCATTCAACGAAATATAAACTTAAATATTTTCGACATTTATTTTTGCTTAAATTCTTTAAACACACACTAACACCGCGGTATTTGACGCTGTTTTTGAGGCACGAATTCTCTCCTGCTCAGCCGCGTCTCTGCCTCTCCGTCCTACATCCTTTATGCACAGCACGCTGCTCGGGTCTTCCCCAATAAAACATACCTTAGTGTCCGAGCACCATGGCCCGCTCCCGGCACTCTCACTGAGAGAGATGGAAGCCAAGCAGCACCAGATAAAAAGCCTTAAAAGCTACCCGGAAACCGGTGGCCGGAGCCTGGCCGCGGCTGCCGGAGCAGACGGGTGTCGAGCCGCTGAAATGGACATGGAGGCGAAGATCCAGAAAGCTATCGACTTCAAGGCAGAGGGTCACCGCTGCTACAAGGAGAAGAAATTCCGGGAAGCGATCGGCAAGTACCACCGGGCGCTGCTGCAGCTCAAAGGGGTGCATTTGGTGGACGGGACCACGGGCTCCGAGGTCAACCTGCTGAACCAAGCCGCCGGCAAGCTGACCGAGGATCAGCGGAGAGCCGTGCAGACTACCGAGATCGAGTGCTACGACAACCTGACAGGTGAGCAGCACCGGTACACTTCCCACAAAAACATCCAGACCTCTGTAGCCTTAAGGACTGCTGACACCTTTGTTCGTCCCGGTTCACTGGGGCCACACAGCCAGGTTATTTCTGCAGGATTTGTGCAGACGTTGGTGAAATAGCAATGAATTCAGCAATAAATCATACTGTGTCCTGGCGAGATAAAACAGATTTAATTTGTGTATAATATCTGACCAGATAAGTGCATTATTTAGCCTATATCACACTAAATGAACACATTTCAGGCTCTTATAGCCCTTTAAATTATCTGTGTGCTATTTCTTTATACAGCACATTCATTCCTTTTACACAATAGGCCACCTCATCAAAGTGTAATATTTCAATTGTAGTAAAAAGATTTTTTTAAAAGCCCAAATAAACCCACAGGGCCAACACGCCTTATGTTATAATACATGTATGTTTCATTATGTATTGGTAAGTTCACCAGCTGTTGTGATGTAACATTGACATTTCAGAAGAGTCTCTGAGGTGAGAAGAAATCCCCTCACCCATTCACAGGGTGATGTAAGGCTGTGTCTACTACAGGGTTAACTGAGGAGCACAACAGATTCACTCTCACTGAAAATGCAGCTGTTATTAGCATAGGTGCTACAAAAACATTCATCATAAAACTAGAGTTGCTATTAATGTTATTTTTCAGTGTCCATGATTTCCTTGATTCATCACAAGCACAGCAGTAGTACATCAGTGTGAAGGCTCTGGGGCTTTTATTTTTGAATGTGTAATGTCGGGAGAAAAACATGCAAAGGAGGGTGTGTCTTAGCTTTTGTTTGTCAAGCACCTGGCTGATGAAAGCACAAGGTTGGTCAATATTCCGTTGGCTGTTGTGATTGATATTGAGTGACATTGTAGCCCAATGTTGTTTTGTGTGTGCAGTCATGCTATGTTGGTTAAATGCTCCTTAATTTATGTCATGCTAGCAGTTAGCAGATCATTGGCTTTGCTACATGAAAGCCATGGTCTGCAGAAATGCTGTAGTGTAGGCATACTGTCTGTGGAGGTGTGTGTTGCAATAACTGTTTGTTTACAGCATTTTGTAGATTGCTTGGTATGGGAAGTATATGGGAAGACAGGCCTTATGGTTTTGTAGTAAGCTATTAATTAAGTGTGTGTCAGCTTTCACTCGGAGAAGCTCTCACAATATAGTTACTGTAACATATAAAAACGTGTACATATGAATATATTTCCTGTAGCTTTGCTGTGAAATTGGTAATTATTTGTTATTTATGTGCATTTTAAGGAATTATTTTATTACTAAGCATACATAGCAGAATAAACACGTAGATACATAAAATAACTACATCACAATCGACAAATCACGAAATAAAAACAAATTGATATTCATTTACAAGACATAGCTTACACATAATGGATACAACAATAATACTCATATGTACCTTAATGTTCAGATCTCATCAGCTGGTCATGATAAATGTTGTATTTTCTATAATTTACCAATTGTTTCCATCTTTCATCAAAGATATGATCTTGGTTTCCGATTCTCATGTATTTTCTCCAAATTGGTAATACCTGCGTCAATATAATGTGCTCTGTATGCAAAGTGCAGCATATCCAGATGGATGTGGACATCCAGGAGCTACATGATGGTGGAGTTTATATCACAATACTTAAAAGACATATGAATATTATTTTGGGTCATGACGCGGGCAAGTGTGATGTAGTCTCTGGTAGCTTGTGTCCAGGTGCTGCCCTGTCAAACTGTCGTGATGCATTGAAGGTCGCCTTGTTCTGCGCAGCGTTCAGGGCCCTGTCAGGAGCCTGCAGGGCGGCCAACTGTAGCGTGAAGAAGAGAGTGGGGGAGGGAATGAGAGGGACGGTAAAATAAGGAAGGAAAGCGGAGATTTAGAGGCAGGAAAAGCAATTAAAAGGCATAGTGGTAGTTTACAAGGAAATCGGTTGCTATGTATATAAAATCAATCCTTATGCGGTAATGATCACATTGTTATGCAGTCCCTGTCCAATTATTTGGACAAATTGTATTTCTATGCTTTGTTCTTAAAACATAAAGCCAATAAATCCCCTTAATCATTGTAATTTAGAGCGATATAAGAGAG